GGGAGTAACAAGGGAAATGAAACTAGAATATTAAGGCTGTCCACAAAATGCCCTAAATTATTGACTTAAATTCAGATATTCCAAGTATTTTCTGAACTACATGTTTACCGATAGTTACCATAACAATTAAAGCATACTAAATTACAACTGAACAGAACATTTATAGTCTAAGAACACGATTTGGACTTAAGTTGTTTAGTTAGTTGGTTTACAGAGAAAAGGAAGAGAGAAAAAAGAAGCACAGTCATATAGCATAAGACATCCAATGAACAGTGCAGTAGAACTAGGAACGCAAAATTCCATCACAATGTGAGCAACAGAGCAGACTGCCTAAGTCAAGGTGGAATGTAAGCAATGCAAAAAGTGGGATTACAAATATATAAAACAATGCACCAAAAGTATGAATATATGTGCAATGACAGAGGGTACCAACAATAATAACTGCAGCAGATTACAGACCTGTTAGCAAACGAAGATGCCCTTTTGGAGTCTGGACAATTCCATCCTACTACATGTATCTCTATTTTGGAGGTCATTAATTCATAGGGTCGCCATAAATCGGAAGCAACTTGACGGTACTTAATACACACGATTTTAGGAGTTTTAAAATTTATTGAAGGAAAAGGTAATCCTACCTTTACAGGTAGATCGCCAAAGAGTATTAAGCATTGTTAATGCATTTCTGATTGTGACTACAACAAAATGTGCAAGGAACAGAAGATTCTCCATACGATACCTACACTAAACTTTAGAAAGATACTGATACTAAAATGTTTTATCTTAAGTAACCAGATCTTTTGAGGTGCTTTGTTATTTGCAACCTAGTAACAAACAAATGTTTCCATGTTGGGTTTTGTTTTAAAAATACCAGAAAATAAATAAATAAACCCTTCAATTTTAGTCTTCGGTAAACCACCAATGGTTACTGGAAATTTTAGGAAATGTCTGATTTTCTCACCTCTCCTCCTAAATCTAGCAAAGTCTAGGAAAATTCTAATGTGTACAACCTGACTCATAGATAACCTGATCTATGACTCAGCCATAGGGGATTTCTGGATCAGAAACTTGTCAGAATCAGTACCCAGTGTGCCCTATGACATAGAAATGCATGTGATCGGGCAGGGAAATCCTTACTGCGTTGGAAATGCTTTGCCCTTATTATCAAGCCTAGTATACAAGAGGGATCAAACTGAGGGGGAAACCGCATACACTAAACTGATGGCCAAAGAAATATAGGTAATGCAATTAGAACACCTGGTACTCTCTTGTTTCAGCAGAATTTCTGGGACAAATAGCCAAGACAATCCTAAACGATTAAGCACCTTCAAAAAGGAGCATAACCATACCATCCTCCTCCTTGGACATATCGATCAACTTTTGACAACACAAAAGAAGGAATTCATGTTCCCTTCTCATTCCACCTCACAATTTTTTTTTCATTTGACGATTACAGCCCTAAATCTAATTCTTAGAAGAGCGACTTTTCCACTTCACAAAGTCCTCAATATTGAAAAGGGGATGCAGGATGCCAGCTGCTGCTCTCTATCTCTGTGTTCCTACTTTAGCAAGAATATGGCCAAAAGTATATGAAGCATGGGTACCACCTGTGACTACAATCTCTAAAGCTCATATGCAGCAACAACCATGAAACAAGGAAAGCCTGGATCCTAAATATAGGAGCAAGATCCACTGGAATGCTTGCGAAGCATTCCATAACCACAGTGATGGAAAGCATCTAATTTAGATTGATTGAAGAAGCTATTAAGTGCTAAAGGGGGCTGCGGTGGCTCAAGTGGTTAAGACGCTGAACTGCAGAAAGGAAGGTCGGTAGTTCGGCACTTCGAGACCTCAGTGCCGCATGATGGAGTGAGCTCCTGTCTCTGGTCCCAGCTCCTGCCAACCTAGCAGTTCGAAAGCAAGAAGCTGCAAGTAGATAAATAGGTACCACTTCAATGGGAAGGTGACAGCATTCCGTGTGCCTCGGTGTTTAGTTATGCCGACCACATGACCACAGAAATGTCTTTGGACAGCGCTGGCTCTTCAGCTTGGAAACAGAGATGAGCACCGCATCCCTAGAGTTGGATTTGACTGGCTTTCGAGCAAGGGAAACCTTTACCTTTACTAAGTGTTATAGTTACTTTGCATCACAAGATTCAGACAGAACATGCCAGATTTATTGCAAAAGAGGTCCTCTTGACTGTAGACCTGGAACTTTTATCTCTGCATGCTAGTTGGTTAACATTGACTCCTACATAAACTTCCTGTCTTTTGACTCTGGCTCCATGTATAATGAGTTTTTTTCCTGGCTTTGCTTCCAAACTGCAGGATTTCGATGGGAGCATCCATGTGACATCATCTTCTAATTGCCCATTTTCCAGTCATTTCCCATCCTTGGTACATTCTCTCTGAGCCCTGGTTTGGTATGATATTTCCAGAAAGAATGCAGTCCAAGCACATTTAACAAGCCATCTGGACAGGAAGGTCAACATTTGAGAACGTGCCACCCACACTGGCACCATTTTTCTCGCCTTAGCCCTGCCATCACTGCCGCAGCTGTGTCACTAAAGGGCTTTTAAAAAAAACCAGTAACTGCTATTCTGCTGCAGTGAACACTCTATTGCCATGATACACTAATTCCATGATACACTATGAACTTATTGTGCTATAGCGCAATCATATTTTTTTGTAAAAAAACCCTCACCTATCCAAAGCCCTCTGGTGACGTGACAAGAAAAAACTGCAGTGAAAATGGCAGCTGATGGAGGAAAGTGTGCCAAAAACTCCCATGTGGACATATCGTGTCGCCAAAGCAATGACGGGGAAACAGGGAATCTTTATCATGCCACGAGGATGCCGCCTGTGTCCCAATGGATATTCCATCAGCTGATTCTCTTTTTACTCACCTCTGCTCCTGCTTATTAACAGACAATGCACAATTTCTGCTTGTATCTGATGAAGTGAACTTTTGAAAGCTTCTATCTTGGAAATCTTGTTGGTCTGTGAGGTGCTACTGTCCTTGAATCTTGCTCTTCTACTGTAGACCAACACAGCTACCCATCTGAAACTATGTACAGTTTTTTTCATGTTGCTGTCCCTGTCTCAGCTAGAACATTTCCTCCTCCCTACCAGTGTTCCCTCTAAGCTGACCTAGTGTGAGCTAGCTCACAGCTTTTTAACCTTCAGCGCACACATTTTCATCTTAGCTCAGGAAGGAGGGCTCCAGAGCAAACTAATATATGCAGCAGCCAAATCGCTCGCTCACAACTTTAATGCCAGTAGCTCACAAAGTAGAATTTTTGCTCACAAGGCTCCACAGCTTAGAGGGAGTCCCTACCAAGTACAGACTGTGTCTTGTCCTGATCTCAGGCCTTCCTGCTTGCTCCTTCAATCAAGTGTTCATCCCAGTAATTCTAATTAATGGCTCGATTCAGCCCATAGGTGCCACCCCCTGCCCCTACATGTGTCGCCAGGGGTATTTGACCCATAATTATGAATTATTTTTCACATAGAAACTTGAGCGAAATGATTCTGAAACCTGGAAATCTTCCACTGTTGGTTCAAATAAGAGTGCATGGATCTCCAAAATCAGCTCTGCAAGAAACATGGGAGCACTTGACTCATCGTCCTCTGATCCTATAACAACTGAAGTTCCCTTAAAAAAAAAAAAGTAGGAGGAAATCACATTCGAAAATGAACACACATTCTTAAATTAGAAATATAAACAGTATCCTTGCACATTCCCTCCCACAGAGAAATTAGGACTGAAGACTTCCTAGTCTGAAAGAAGCTGCAGTTTGGTAAGATATTTTTACAAATTGTAGTTTAGTTCTTAACTCCAAAGAAGATTATTTAAACAGCTGTTTAGAATACTGGCAACCCCCGCCCCCTGCCCCCAGTTTCTTAAGAGTGCCTGTGATTTCCTTTCGAAATGGGAAAGCTTCAGTCTCAACCTGATGTTGGCAGTAATTAGGGCTTTGTACAAATTAATCAGATTTTTTTCTAATTCCCTAAATAGAGCATGATGTGATTTATCATGTTTATTCTGACTTATGCTTAGCAAACAACATTTTTAAAGGCTACCTCATGTAAATGTTAGGGTCCTAACAGTAACCAATACTTGAACTGAAATATTTGATTAGGGGGGGAAATTAATTAAGTCTGGTTCAAATGTTATATTCAAACAACAGAAAACTTGATGTGGAAATTATTTTTACTAGAAAGTACTATAAAATTTTAAAGACAACGTAGCATATACTTCCCTTACGTTGATCATGTCACTCTTGTGTTCTATACACTTCTGTTTATTTTCCGTCTTCAATTAAAATGTGTTTGTCATCTTTAAATCACTTCATTCCCCTGCACTGTCTCCTCTTCCCTCTCTTCCTTAGCTGTCTGTCCCCTCCCACTCTATCCGCTGTTCTGATTTGTCTTAAACCCAGAGGTCATTTCGGGGGGGATCGCGAGGGATCGCAGTTCCCCCGGGTGAGGTATGGGGGGTGGGGCACATGACAAAGCCCCGCCCCCTGCTTCCGGCCGCCCCGCTTCCGGCCCTCATTCAGCCAGGAGGAGGCAGGAGAAGAGGGAGGGTAAGTTGCTTCCTCCCTGCCTCTCCCCACCCCTGCCTGCCTGGGGCCAGGGAGGGCCTTCGCGGGGCTTCCTTGCACTCCCGCCAACCTTGCAGGTCCACCGCTGGGCCCCTCATGGGGCTCGGCAGTGGAGCTGCAAGGCCGGCGGCGGCCGGGACCACTGGGGGCGGGGTGTGTGGCCTTATGACACACTTCCGGTGATGTCGGGGGCTGTGGCCTAATTACACACTTCCGGTGATGTCAGGGTGTGTGGCATATGCTAATGAGTTATGCTAATGAGTTCCCCTAGCTCTTTTTCTACAAAACGACCCCTGCTTAAACCCCAGTTCGTTCTGGCTCTTTTTAATGCTCATCCTTTCTCAGTGACTGGGTCTTAACTTTGGAATGCTCTCCCTACTGATAATCATTTCGCTACTCCTTCCTTTACAGTTAAACAAGGTCACACGCTACTGGGCGCGTTTTGCAGGCTCTCTTTGGCTGATTTTATTTCTTTTATTACATACTTCTTTTACTGAGTTTGTAATATTGTATTCCCTGCCATTCCACCCTGGCCTGACCTGTGTGGTGTCTTGTAGATTGTGCAACTTCAGGTAAGACCTCCCCACACCCACCCCTTGTGAAGTGCTATGTTAATAAAAACAGTCATCTGTTGTGAAATGGACCGCTTTGATTTATCCTCTCTCCCCATATTTGAAAACAATAAAATACATAATTGTGCTTCAATGGCTGCCAGCACTCAGGGAATAAATTTTTAAATGTAAAACTATTCATTTTTTGAATTTTGCTCCAATCAGGGCATAGAATTCATTTTTTGAATTTTGCTCCAATCAGGGCATAGAATATATTGACTACGTTGAACATTTTCAGAAAAAAAATATATCCTGGGTCTCTGCTGATAAATGGCTTCTCCAAAGAAACATATTTTCAACATATTTGGCTTCTCCAAAGAAACATATTTTCAAGTATACGAAAAATTCAGTTACTCGTTATACACAACATGTAACAGAAAAACCATTACAAGGCAGGACTGTAGATGTGACGTTCCAAGGGGAGAAAAACAAACAAAAAAAATAAGAAGGAAATGTTGTTGCTTTTGAGAACTTCCCCCCAATTTTGCAATGGTAGAACTGAGAAATTTGGGGGCATACTGGGGGGAAAATCCTACAATTTTTTTCTGTGCATATCCCTATGTATACTGTAAACATGCTAAGTGTTTGATAACTTATTAAAGAGTTCAGTTTCAACATAATAAAATTTAACTTGATAATCTTAATTAGGAGCCGCCCATTGTGAGGCACTCCAAAGGGATCTGTCAAGAATGGGCAAGTGGGCGTCAACATAGCAAATGGGGTTCAATGTGGCCAAGTGCAAGGTGATGCACATTAGAGCCAAAAATCCTAAATATAAATACACATTGATGGGGTCTGAACTGGCAGAGACTGATCAAGAGAGAGATCTTGCAGTTGTAGTAGATAACTCACTGAAAATGTCGAGACAGTGTGTGACTGCGATAAAGAAGGCCAATGCTATGCTGGGGATTATTAGGAAGGGTATTGAAAAGAGATCAGCCAATATCATAATGCCCCTATATAAATCAATGGTGAGACCTCATTTGGAATACTGTGTGCAGTTCTGGTCACCACACCTTAAAAAGGATATTATAGCTTTGGAAAAAGTGCAGAAAAGGGCAACTTGAATGATAAATGGGTTGGAACACTTTCCCTATGAGGAAAGGTTAAAGCGCTTAGGGCTCTTTAGCTTGGAGAAAAGACGACTGAGGGGTGACATGATTGAGGTTTACAAGATTATGCATGGGAAAGAACAGGTAGAGAAAGAGGTACTTTTCTCCCTTTCTCACAATACAAGAACTCGTGGGCACTCCATGAAATTGCTGAGCGGTCGGGTTAGAACGGATAAAAGGAAGTACTTCTTCACCCAAAGAGTGATTAACAAATGGAATCCACTGCCACAGGAAGAGGTGGTGGCTACAGGCATGGACGGCTTCAAAAGGGAATTAGATAAGCATATGGAGCAGAGGTCCATCAGTGGCTATTAGCCACAAGGTATAGATAGGGACTCTGGGGCAAGTGATGCTCTGTCATCTTGGGGCTTGGGGGGGTCAACAGTGGGAGGGCTTCTAATGTCCTGGCCCCACTGGTGGACCTCCTGATGGCACTGGTATTTCTGGCCAGTGTGTGATACAGAGTGTTGGACTGGATGGGCCTTTGGCCTGATCCAACATTGGCGTCTCTTATGTTCTTATGTTCACCACTACCACCAACTATTATTGTTAGTAACACCGGGGTGGTTGGTTGGCCCTATAGGGAGACTGAACTACAGTAACGTATGAGATAGATACGGCTGAATTGGGACTTGTGTCCATCTACAGGATGCCATCTTTAATGTGATTGGAAGATCAATTCTATGCTATGCACTTTAATTGTAATAATATGATTGTTTTATCTTGTTTTCATCTGGTTTTACATGTTAATATATTTTGGCACATAGTGCCTTTAAATGTAAGCCGCCCTGAGCCCGTTCGTGGGGAGGGCGGAATAGAAACCCAATAAAATAAAATAAAATAATCTAAATATGCCAGTAGTGCTCCTGTTTGATACTGTTTCTGTTCAAATAATACACTTTCTTTCCTTTACCACAAAATTTGTTTCCTAATTTCAGCTTTCATTTTTTCCTACCTCTGAGCTAGCAAAAATTAAGACACATGTTCTAAGGTAGGTTAGGGCACAGCAGTTTGCAGCTCTTTCTCAAGCACTGGATATATTTCCGTTTTGCCTATAGAAACTAAAGCATTTATACTTCTAAAGTACATGAATGTGCCACTTAGTACAATTATACCATTATCTATATCTACTCAAAAGGAAGACAACCCTGAATGTCCCCCCTCCAAATGTTATATACAAAAATGGGGGTTTTTTTAATTGGACATAACTGTAACTCATATACAAATTTTAAAACCCCTCTTTTTCTTTTGATGACATGCATGGGGGGGGGGGAACTACTCTTGCAGTTGAGTAAATACCGTATATACTAAGTTATCAATGACGCATTTTATTTTGTTAAAACAGCAAAGTTAGTTTAGGTTTGATAGGAAAGTAAATATTGCATATATTTCAATGTTTCCTCAAATGTATAATTATGGGGGGGGGGGCAACTTTACCCCCATAGTTTCAGAAATTCAGAAAATCATACATTTCCAGGCAGAACCAACTACTTCTAATGGAACGAGAACTACCTTCTTTTCTGCAACTTCCGGCGCTTCATCTGTATTCCATTTTTGTATGACCTCTGAAGGAGGTGTCCTTTTCAACTTATCAGTGAGATAATTCAAGAGAGTAGTGACGGATTTGACTGCCAAGACATGCATAGTGTTGACTATAAGGTAGTCAGCAAGACGAATGAAGCTGGGGGGAAAGCACAGTTTATTCTTTGTACCACAAGCTCTTTATGATGCACTAAAACTTTCAATACTTTAATGAGTCCTATTCAGAAGTAACTATCAAGTTAGGGCTGTGACAAGCATTCATAGTTTGATGAGGGTTAAGGGGAAAACAGCTATAGTCTATACATCAAAGGTAAATATAAAAGATTTTCTAGATGTCACCTGGCCCAGACCTAAGAGTAGCTCCACAGAATTTCATGGTAAGAAGAACACCATAGACCAATCTGGGCACAACTTAAGACAATTACTTTCATCGATTCAGATAGGCTGTAACTCTGTACTATTATTAGCGTCATTAATAGCTTCAGCCTTAGTGTATGCTATATTATGTGATCACTGAAAATGTTTTTTAAATGTTCCTTCCATTCTTTAAAGTACAAATTTGAAGACATTTCAAGAACAGTTTTGCATTTCAAAGGGAAGAATGCCTGAAAGGAAAATTCACAAAATAACGTGTGGGTACACAGGTGCTTCTGACTCTATGGTCACTGTTAGAGAGCAACACTTATTTAAAATACCATTTCTTCATATCATACATCTAATAGTAATGGATAACTCCCACGCAGATTTTAAACACACACACACACCAAAGGCAGGAGGGCCTTCAAGGGCTAAGATATATACACAAACATGGAGAACGCCCTCAAACACACCTGCCTGCCAGCCTAATTTGAGTGCAGTGATGCTACCTCTACCTGCCTGGCTCAAGTGGTGGTGGTGGTGGAGGAGGAATCATCATCACCTGATTCTCCCTCTTCACCCATGTGGCTCGTGAGGCAGTAGGTGGCTGCTTCTCTCTTCGCCAAAATGGCAGCCAAGACCTCTGCCTTTTACTAAAAATATTTGTATTCTGTGGGTTTTTCTGCAAAACACAGGGCTCCCTGGCGTTTGTACAAAAAATCCTTGGTGTACCTGGCCCTAGCCTTTGGGTTCCCCTATCTGCACAGGGCCCAGATTCATAATTAGATATATGATTGTTTCAGAAAAGTTTCAGAAAAAAATTGAAAACTTTAAAAACCAGGGTGTCAGGTTCAATAGAGCAGTTGCAGTCCACAACGATTCATAAGAACAGACTGCTTTATTACAAGTCACTATTGATACCCTTTCATGATCATTGTCAGGAATGAAACTCAAAGCCAAGCAGGTACAGATATAGACAGTTCAAATAAAAAGGGTTAGCCAATGAATACAGTTCGCGTTCAGAAGGAATTCGAGCGGGAGAAAACCAAGGCGGGAGATAGCCTTCAGCCGTTTGGTTCACACTTCCAGATTGGGAACGGGCCCCATCAACAGTTCTCACAGTCTTATCTACTACAAAGGCAGCAAAAGCATTCCAAGGTCAAAAGAAGAGATAAAGCGCACAGGGAGGATGAGAACAGAGAAATCCCCCCCCCCACTCACACAGCAGGCAGGTTACACAGAGCATACTCAGAATACAAATGGCAGTTTAAGGGGAATCAAAACAGGAATGGTGATGTCTGTGCACACTCAAACATGATGGGGAAAAATCAGTGCTTTAATGCAAGCCACTGCTGATTACCCGGCGGTGGGGGGGCAGTGTGGTGTGTTTGATGTCGGCTTTAGATGCTGACACGGGACCATCAGAGTCCTCAGCAGTGGCTTGGAGTTCAAAGCGCACAGGACATGCTTTCTGTCCCAAACTAGATCCCACCTGCCAAATGATTGGCCTTGGCTTGGACATCAGCCCCAAGCCACTTCTGAATACCTGGCCGGTGGGCTAACACAGGGCCAGGGCCCAGTTGGGGAGCAGCAAATGAGAATTCCCTCCCTTCCTATTTATTTATTAATTTACTTTCTTTATAGTCAGCCTTTCTCACAGGGACTCAAGGTGGACTGTACTATTCCTGAATATCTACTTTTCCTAATATGGGGAAAATATTGTTAGATTTGCTCAAATGACTCCAGTCTTGATACCAACCATGTTAACCTTATACACTGAGCTCTTTTGCTGGCTTGTTCTGTATATGTCATTTTTTCAGGTTGTTCACTATACGGATCTCTTTCGACACGAGGCATAAGGACATTCGCGCTAGCTAGTCTTGTTACCGTTGTTACCTGTTCTGAGGAAAGTATAGGTGCATATTACTGAAACTGCTGCAAGTATTAAGATAAGTACATCTTTGGTTAAAAGAAATACTAATTTTACACACAGATTAAAAGCAAAATGGTTGGGTTTTGCCACAAATCACAATATATAATGCACAATACCAAGAAATAATTGAAATGTGTTATTATACTCTACATTTGTTCTGTAGAAAAATATTTTTGCTACAAGTATACATAGAAAGAGAGCCATAATATATTCACTTTTAATCCAAACATTAAATATTCTAGTCTTCTGCAATACCAAGCAGAATGTTGCAGTCACTAGAATTTGTCAATGGTTCAGTGTACTGCAGTTAGAACAGGTTCCAGGCTAAAAATACAAATGTTCTTGAATCATTTTCCAAAGGTCAGTTTTCTACCTGTACTTGCAACTGCATAAAAGTAATCATCAGGGGTAAAACCAGACTCAAGCAATGCAGTTCGACATGCACTTCTGACCACTTCTTTAGCTAATTCTCTGAACTCCGACAGCCGTGATGCCACCTGAAATTTATGGTATAGAAACTAATTGATACAAGATCTTCAAAAAAGATATATATCAGATCTTTACATCATGCCATTGAAACCCACTTACATCCATTAGCTGTGCCAGCTGAGCACCCTTGAATTCATCCAGTGTATATAAGTAACCCTTTTCAACATGACAAAATGCCAGGTCACTGATTCTGTAACACATTTCTTGGATGTTAAGTATTGCTGGTCTCAAACACTGCAAAACAGTGGGGATAAATTATTAAGGCAGAACTTCAAAATGCTAAATCCAAATCTGTTAAACGAGATCTCAGTTTTATAAGGGACACATAGATGGGCTTATGAACTTTTTTTGGATTATGAGTTGGTGATTCTCCATAAACTATGACTAAGTACAGGGCTGGGTCTGCTTACATGACTGCCCAAATTTCTTTGCAAAAGTGGATCTGAAAGTTGCGCATCAGGGAGTTGCCCAGGCTGTTCCTCTGAGGCAGTACCTGGCCACAGTCGTTAAATGGGTACATGTGAACAAGTTGAAACTGACTCCTGACAAGACGGAAGTTATGGTGGTTGGGAAGGCTGAGATCTATAGATGGTATGCTGCGTCTCACTTTTGATGGGGTTTAGCTGACCCTCATTTGCTCAATAGGTGTCTATTGACCATTATTACTAGAAAAGCAAATTTATTTAGCTGCAAAAAATGCTTTCTTCCATCTTCATTTCACCTGAAAGATGCCTCCCTACTTTCACCCAGTGGATCTGGCCATGTGGATCCATGCCACAGTAACCTTCAGACTAGACTACTGTAATGAACTCCAACCGTATCTGCCCTTGAAGAAAACTCAGAGTCCAGGTGGTACAGAACGCCACAGCTAGATTAGCATTGGTATCTAGACAGAGAACACATACTAGATATATGCAATCGTTCCACTGGTTACCCAGTCGTTTGCAGCTTCTAGTACTTGCTATTACCCACAAAGCTGTTCATGGTCTAAGACCAACAGAGCTATAGGGCAGCTTCAATCATCTGAGTAAAACCTCCTGAAGATGCCACCATGGGAAAGGAAATGATCAACAATTGCCTGTACCTGAACATTCTCTGTCGTGGCTCTTTCTTGTGGAAAGACCTGCATAATGAAAACAGGAAAGCTCCCACACATCTAATTCCACACAGTGTGGAATCAGGAATTGCTCAAGAGGGCATTTTGATAAAGAAAGTGCAGTGTTTTTTTTATCACATTGTTTATTTATGTACTCTACTGTCTTTACTGTATTGTTCTTCAAATTTGTAATCCTTTTTATTGCATTTTTTGTTGTGTATACTGGGCTTGATCCAACCAGCTTGTTTACTCGACTAATCCCCCTCCTTACAACAGCCACCTTCCTATGTGGCTTTTGTCCATGCAGGAGCCATGATCTTCAGCATAACTTTGGGGTGGGGGGGGTCAAAGGAGGCCCTTTCCTCCCTTTTTCAACAGTCAAAAAAACAGGCTGGAGCCAAACCATTATACTGTCACTTTTGCACCCTCTTATTTTATAATCCGGTTTTTATGCACTGTTTGTATTATACTGTACTTATTCCTTTTTAAAAATCCACTTTGCCTTACCAAGAAAGGAAGACAACTATGAATGAAGTAAGTCAATAAAATGTCAACATCACGAAGCTGCTGCCATCGTGCAACTCTGCAGCGCCATCTGGGGAGATGGAATGCACGAGTAGAGCCCACCAGCCCAGAGCAACAGAAACTAATGCCCTTAAGGCTAATAAGGGCAATCCAAGACGTCTGGTAAAAACATTCCCTAGCTTAGAACCTCAGGATGTATGCCTTCCCCCATGCATTTCAACACTAGGAAAATTATACTTGTAATCTACTAAATAGCTTTTAAAATATGCAGTTCTTTTCACTACGCACTTCAGTTTTAAACAAGTATTATTTCAAAAATAATAAGATGTAGTGTTTATATGGTGCTTTAGAATGTTCAAAGTACTTCAGATATATTATCTCAGTAACAAAATCACAATACCTACAGCATTAACAATGAACAAGTTCTTTTGCAAAGCTCGGCGGCACGCTTTAATTTTCTTAGTGCGGACATTCTTTCTCCAGACATTAAATGACTTCCATTTGCGAAATATAGCAAATATAGGGATTTTGCAAAGGGCTCTGTGGTATAGATATTCCTGCTCCCAGCGTGCAAGTTCCAGATACTCGACTTCTCCATTACATGTATGAATAACGGCATTCGGGCTAATAGTATAGTAGTCTTTTTTATTAATGCAGTCATAACTTACAATTCTAAAAAAAAGGAAAATCAAATTTAACAGGGCACACATTAACAGAATTCACACAGGTCCCAAGATAGGAATAAGATGGAGATCAATTATGGTAATTTCTGTGCCAGTTTTTAAACTCTAGCTTAAAGAAAACTAGAACCTAATCAGAATACTAACTGACTGTAAAGACCTTACATTTTCTTATTTAAAAATAAATTATGTTTCATTCGGTTGAAAATACTTCTCTTCTGAATACGGATGTATCCAGGGGGGGAAGTGCTGCCAATTAGCACAAGTCCCCTGATTGCATCAGACCTTCTTCTCCTATAGGTCTGTTTTACATTTTGCGGTTGTAATTGTTAGAATGTCTGACACACTTTAGAATGTCTGACACACTTTCTCCAAACATCTGTTAACTGTGGATCAAGACTGCTCGTGGCTTTAATATACTCACAAGGAAGCCACACGAAGGTGGGTCTGCTGTTTGCCATGCCAGCAGCGATAGCCATTTTCTCAGCCATAAGCAACCGAAGATGACAACCTTGGTTCTTAACTTTGACTATATACAGTGCAACGGTTAGTTTGTTGGACTTGAACCAGAGAGATCTGAGTTCGAAACCCCACCCTGATATGAAGCCCACAGAGAAACCCAGGGTCAGTCATTCTCTCTTAATATAACATACATCATGGGGTTGTTGTGAGGATGAAACAGGGGGAAAGAGAACTGCTTATGCCACTGTCAGCTCATTAGAGGAAGAGCAGAATAAAATGTGAACAATAATAATATCAACAACTCAGCTCAGAGACCCAAGGTAACAGTAAAAAGCAAGTCAAACTTATATCCCTTTTTAAAAATTCCCTTTGCCTTACCAAGAAAGGAAGACAACTATAAATGAAGAAAGTCAATAAAATGTCAACATAACAAAGCTGCTGCCATCTTGCAACTCTGCAGCGCCTCTAACTGTAATCACTGCCTCTAACTGTAATCATGTTTGGACTGATTACACAGACACAATATCTAGTACTTCGTAATAATCAGAATGGAATGCTTCTTTGAGCTGAAAAACTGATGTCTGTCTGATGGCTAAGGTTCAACACTTTTCTTTGGGCAGTTTGCAGCCAATTCATCTTGCGGGCTCAAGGAGGCTATGCTGGGGGGGCACTGGAAAGAATGAACACACAAATTATCTCGGATCAAACATGGCCATGCTTATTTATTACTACAAAGGAGCAGTGGCACAGCACAGGGAAGGTTCCTAATAATGGGCAACCCGCCTGCTGCCCGATGCCCACCTCCCCCAGCCCGCCTGCTGGGGGTTGACCGTGGAGTAGCAGGATCCCAGGACACCCAGGCGCCAGCCTCTGCATGGTCCCCCTGCTACCTGGGGCGGAAGCCTGCCAGCAGCCCCTTTCGGCCTGCAGCTGAATGGCTCCACGCCCCAGGGCCCCTTGTGGGAGCCCTCCAAAATGGGGGAGGCGCACGCCTCTCCCTCCAAGGGACAAGTCCTAATGCCCAAACCGCCAAGCTGTGACAGTAAACGATAGTAAAGAACATAATCCTACAGTATTACAGACAACAACTACCTCAACAAGCTCAAATATGAGGGAGGGTGCGCAAGCCGCCACTAGAAACAAAAGAGGCTGGAGACTGGCATGGGGGGGCTGTAAAAGCCTTTTCTTCAATCTCCTGCCTCGCCTCAGACCCACGTATGGCAGCTCGACTGGCGAGCTTCAGCTGACCCTGCCATGCCCCACCTCCCTTTAGGGGCTGCCCAAACCTGGTGGCCTCCTTTCAGCCTCCCCCACCTCCTGTCCGGCAAACCACAGCCGAGGTCAGTCTCGGCCGTGCTTATTTCTTCCCCTTCTAAATAAGAAGAAAGACAAAGGCAAGTCACAAAACGGCAAATATCAAAGACATTCAATCAAAATATCCATTAAATGCATTCAGAATCACAGCTCTTGAATGAGAAAATTAAATTAAGCAGTGCAAGGGGTGTTCTGTTCTAAAGCCTCTTGAGAAAAGACCACAATAGTTGTACTGAAAAGAAGACTGTCAGAACAGCAAACGTAGATTTATAATTCACGTTAAATTAAAACGTACTATATGTAACAAAGCTAACCACCATAACATAGAAACAAAGTCACTCACTTCAGGCTGTATGAGTCATATTCAATGGATGACTTAGGCATTGCAGGAGACATGTATAGGAACCCAAGATTTTTGTTCTCACATATAATTTTTATAATTTCGAGGGGTTCTGTAACATTAGCTTTAACTACTTCTTTTGGTTCTTGAAACGTAACGGCAGGAGGAATAGGGCTTGGGAGGCAAGCACCTATCTTGACCACACTACGAGGCTGTTTGGGAGGAGTCGGAAATAGAACTTTTGCACCCAGTAACTGTAAAGGTAAAAGAAATGGAATGTGTGCATCACAGTCTTTAAAAAACCCACATTCTTTTCATTCCGTTGATTGATTTATAATAATTTTATCCTGCTTCTCCCCCAAATCATTTCAGGTAGGTAATTTTTTTCTTTAAAAAGCCTATGCAGACAACAAATTTAAAAACCAACGAACCAGAATTAGAAACACATTAGAATGATAGAATTACAATCTTTCTTAAAACAATTTTTTGTTTTGATGAGTGTGGTGTGTGTGAGCATGCATATGCTTGCGTGCCTGGATGTTATGGCAACTTCTGGCGACTCCTACTGGGGCATGGAGGACATTCAGAGAAGTGGCCTGATAGCCTGCCTCCGCCTCCCAGGGTCGGCCCTGCTTAGCTTTTGAGATCTGACGAGATCAGGGTTGCCTAGGCTACCCTGGTCAGGGCAAAAATATAGGATTATGATCTTGATCTAATTAAACTTTAGGTAAAGGTTCCCTTGCTCAAAAGCCAGTCGAATCCGACTCTAGGGTTGCGGTGCTCATCTCCATTTCAAAGCTGAAGAGCCAGCGCTGTCCGAAGATGTTTCTGTGGTCATGTGGCCGGCATGACTAAACACCAAGGCGCACGGAATGCTGTTACCTTCCCACCAAAGGTATTTATCTACTTGCAATTTCTTGCTTTCGAACTGCTAGGTGGGCAGGAGCTGGAACTAGAGACGGGAGCTCACTCCGTCATGCGGCACACTCGGGTCTCGAACTGCTGAACTACCGACCTTCCACAGCCTGCAGTTCAGCGTCTTAACCACTTGAGCCACCGCAGCTCCTAATTAAACTTTAAAAGGCCTTTAAAATTCGCTCAACATCTTTTTTGGATGGGAGCGTGATTTTGGGGAAACCGCACACATTAATACATGACGCTTCCTTATAATTTCCCGGTCCATCAAGCTCAGTATTGTCTACGCAGACTGGCAGAGGCTCTTTAGGGTCTTAGGCAGAAGCCCTTCATGTCACCCACTGCTTGATCCCTGAAACTAGATACTGAAGTGGGAGCTTCTGTATGCAAAACAGATGCTCTACATCTGAGCCACAGCCCCTCCCCATCATCAGCAGATTCGTATACAGATATATAATATTGCAGAATTGCCCTCGTAACAACAATGTTAAGAGGAGTCTGCTAACATTTCAAATGTGAAATTAATTTGTGAGTTAACTGTCCAAAGATACTCTATAATAAAATACAGTCCTCTATGAGGCACTGCTTTCAAAAGACATAGATTCAGATGTATTTGTTTGTTTATTTTTGTTCTCAAGTCGCAGCTGACATGGTGACCTCATGGGCTTTTCCAGGCAAGAGACCTTCAGAGGTGATTTGCCATTGCTTGCCTCTGCATAGTAGTGACCCTGAACTTCCCTGATAAATACAGACCAAGACTGACCCTGCTTAGTGTCTGAGATCTGAAAAGATGGGGCCAAGCTGGGCTATCCAGGTCAGGCTAATATAAGACATAGAAACCTAACATAATGGCAAAATGAGCCTAGTGTTTGCAATAATGAGATCCATGTATCGCACACTTTGCTTTTGGCTGTAATAAATTCACACAACCAGCATGATGTACAGTCATTTCTGCGTCTGGCTGAAACTGCTTCTTCCTTTCCTTCAAAAGCATACAGCTGTCATGCAAGGCGATTCTATGCTGCTCCTACACATAATCTCCTTCTGAAGCTATTGGGACCTGCATTTTTTTTCAATCCCACAATGGACAGACAAGAGACAGGCCACCATCAGAGCTACTACAAGTCCAGCTTTGGTTTCCTCTCTTTGGCCCACTTGATGAAAACAGAAGAGTTGTCACAACTGTCCCAGGTGATAGGGCAGCAGAGAGCCACATTTGCAATTATCATTTATAGTGGAGCCACATTTCTTGCTGTCCATGGCATCAAGCCTGCACCTCAGGAAAGTTTGCAGTTCACCCATTCCTTATGCAGTGGTTGTTTCAAGATGAGAGCCACCTGCTAGCCACAGGCCCCACCAGTCAAGGGCCTTGGCCATTTCCCTGAAACATGGGGCAGGTGTCACACTGGGGAACAGTGCTCAGAAGAGCCACAGATGGCAAGTCAAAGAGCCACAAATGGCTGCCAAGCCACTGAGTATCCCAGGCCGAGGGCCAGTTATGCATATATTCTGTGGTCAACTGACAGCATTTCACACAGGTGCTTCTGGATGTTACTAAACCTTATTGAGACAATCAAGGACTGATAGGAAAGAAGCATCTAACTGCACAAAGCTGAACTTGGGCAATATTTTATCAGCTCCAAGAACATGGTGGCCTAAACCAACATTGCTTCTCTTATGTTCTTAATACTATGATGATATGTTTTAGCCAGGCAGTACCTGCATTTCCTTTAATTCTTCTGAAATCTCCGGCACTATTGGTTCCACAGCAACAGGCCACTTCCTTTTCTCAGTTGAAGTTATAGGCTGTAAGACTCCAGCAGCTAATAATCTTTCCCTGTTCTTCTGGTATATATATTCAGGTTGTTTGTGGCTTTGATGAATTTTTAATGCAGGCTTAATTAAGGAGAAACAAAGACAATGTGAGATCTATTTCTCCATGACGATGACAAATTCTGCATTTTAAATTAACAATAAAAAAAATTAGTCCAGTGACAATATATCAGTGGTGAACAGACTAAGAATGTGAGAGGAAACACACAATCCTGAAGACCCAGACCCACCTGTTCCAAAAGGTGGACCTCACCCAGCACTTCTTGGATATTTATGAATTGGTCAAATCTGTTTTTTAAAAGCTCCTATGGCGATGCTCCAGGAATCTCATGGTCTTTTAAAATACAGATTTTACCAAATTATAAAAATACAAATAATCACATGCACACTCTTAACAGCGCTCTCTACAGCCAAACTCCTACAGTCTTCTCAGAAGCCCAGAATGTACAGTTGCCATCTTGTTAGCTTTCAGCTGCACCAGTCATTTATTTCTTCTCACTGCCACTGGCTACATCTGTAACTTTCAATCTCTGTCAATCAGCAACTCAAAATTATTAAATTAGAACATGGAAATAAGTGGCAAACAAGCAACAGGACAGTCCCTACATCTCAGAGATTTATTTATTTATATTTGAATTTATATCCCGCCCTACCCCGAAGGCTCAGGGCGGCTAACAAGGGCACCATGTGCCAAGGTTAAAACAGTAAACACATAATTTAAAAACAATAAATTACAGTAAAATACAATAACAAATTCACAACAGATTTAAACAAGATGGGGAGACCTTAACTTCCATAACTACTTCCCAAGATCTTATCATCCAAGCCGTGCCCAGGCGCCTCGCTCCCCCCCATGGGGGCCAGGCAATCATGATGTTAATACACCAGAGCATATTAAGAGATGTTCCCTTAAGAACATAATTTGCATCACACAGTTTCTAATCAAGGATTTAGGATTACAACTTGAAGATCAGAGTATCTACAAAAATGGTTATGAAAATGCACCTTAATTAGAGGCTAGACAATGCAGTTTGAAAGTACCTTTGTGCTTACTGGATTCTCTAGATTCTCTGTGCACCTCAGATACCTTCGCTTTGGCTTTTATAGCAAAGCCCCCACTGCTTTCCAGTTAATATTTGTTCAAACACAATACCTACATTAATATTTACAGCCGCATGACTACAAATATTCCACAGTTAGACATCAAGCTACAATCCTTTGTGATGGAAAGCGCTGTCAAGTTGCAGCTGACTTATGGCTGCAGGAAGTGGTGGCAACAAGAGGTGATCAGATAAACATAAACATATGGAGCAGAGGTCCATCAGTGGCTAGTAGCCACAAGGTATAGATGGAACACTCTGTCTGGGGCAGGGATGCTCTGCATTCTTGGTACCTGGGGGGCAACAGTGGGAGGGCTTCTGGAATTATGGCCCTGCTGGCACCTGGGTTTTGGCCACTGTGTGACACAGAGTGTTGGACTGCATGGGCCATTGGCCTGATCTAACATGGCTTCTCTTACGTTCTTATGGCAACCCTATAGGGCTTTCATGACAAGAGACGAACAAAGGTGGTTTGCCACTGCCTGCCTCTGCATAGCAACCCTGGACTTCCCTGGTGGTCTATATCCAAGTACTAACTATGGCCAATAATTCTTCGCTTCTGAGATCTGACCAGATCAGTCTAGCCTGGACCATCCAGATTAGGGAAATGTACAGTTAGGTAAAGGTAAAGGTTCCCTTGCTCGACAGCCAGTCGAATCCGACTCTAGGGTTGCGGTGCTCATCTCTGTTTCAAAGCCGAAGAGCCAGCGCTATCCGAAGACGTTTCCGTGGTCATGTGGCCGGCATGACTAAACACCAAGGCGCACAGAACGCTGTTACCTTCCCACCGAAGTGGTACCTATTTATCTACTTGCAATTTCTTGCTTTTGAACTGCTAGGTTGGCAGGAGCTGGAACTAGAGACGGGAGCTCACTCCGTCATGCGGCACACTCGGGTCTCGAACTGCTGAACTACCGGCCTTCCACAGCCTGCAGTTCAGCGTCTTAACCACTTGAGCCACCGCCCATGTGCAAATGTTAATGGGACAACACATCTGTTACTGTGCACAGGACTTGAGTCAGAAGAGCGCACAAGACCTTCAGTGAAATTTACTGAAATCCTGGATTCATACAACCACCACCCATGCAGATTGGTTTAAAAGCCTACCAAAGGCTCCAGTTTTATAGGCTGCTGTCGTTCTCTGGTTCTTTCTCGTGCTTTTGTATTATGTATGAATTTCAGAGCCTGAGGATTTGCTGCCACCTCAAGTGGAGCCATGCTTTCCAGTCTCTTTCTTAATTCATTTCTTGAATGAGAAATCCTCACATTTGTAGCAGACTGTTCTTCACTGGAAATGTCATGATTGCTTCCATCATTTACAGTATCAGGCCATTGCGGGCTAGGTTGTAAAGAAGGCAATGATACCTTTTTAGACATAATCGCCTGGAAGTGAAAAATGTATCATTTTTAAAGCATAACTCAAGCATATTTTGATACATCATAAAATATTTTCACACGATCCAACAGCAACAAAGGTCATCAGAAAAGTAAAACAAACCCAAGGAACATAAATGCAGTGAAAAAAGGTGAACTTGAAAGGGACTGTTTGCTTGAGAAATCTGTTTGGATAACATATGATACTCTTAAAAGAAAACTAAAGTAGTTACTATATACGAAACTAAAAGATTATTTTCCATTTTTGTTTATAATTCAGACGCCTACCTTAACATTCATAGCAAAACAGTAATACATGCATACTTTACTATTAGTGCAAGTAATACTTTGATTTTTATATTCACTTGGACATTTATAACCTAATTTTCTCCCAAATGGGGACCCAAAACAGCTTATATCATTTCCCCTTGTTCGACAATACTTTTGGTTGTTCAAAGGACTTAGCAAACCTTTTTGAACCTGAGGGCAAGTTTGGAATTTGGATACAAGGTAGTGGGCCCAACCACAACATGGCTGTCATGGGGCATGGAGCCAGCAACTAAACGGCTGGGCAGGGAGTCCCACACTTTGTAAAAACACTTGGCAGGCACCAGGAAAGGTGTCTGAGGGCACTATGTTGCCCACAGGCACCAAGTTGGGGACCTCTGGTCTACTCAGACTAAATATAGCCACACATGCCTAGTTTATTGATGGTGCTCAGATGATAACAGTCAGGGGTCATTTCATAGACAAAGAGGTGCAGGAGCTCATTAGCATAGCTCATTTGCATAGGCCACACCCCCTGACATCACCAGAAGTGTATCAGAAGGCAACACCCACCGCTCAGGCTCCACTGGACTGTTTTGGATTGCTAGCTACCGGGGGGGGGGGGACATGCAGATCTGTCCTCACAGAGGAGGGAGAATAAAACTTGGGCTTAAAGGTGCCACTGCACTGTTTTGGAATGGGGGACCGGGGGGGGGGGCTCTGCAGCTTACCTGGCTGCTTCTTGCTCTAAGGGCTGCTGGGAGCAGGGGATGGGACTTGTTGCATGTGCCCGCCCCCTGGGCTCTTTACTGCCGGAGCTCCGCTCCTGTGCGCTCCTGCAGGAAATGACCCCTGATAACAGTACAGATAAGGAACCTGACACGCAAATATACACGCGTAAACTATCATAAGCATTATTAAAATAATGTATACAATCATTTGAACACACTGACGTTCTGTAAAATTACTTTATCATCACTTCTACACAATCACTAATAATGAGATGCCACAGGGGACAGGATTCCTGTGTAGGAGGAAATTTTTGCAGGCACAGTTTGCTATACAGTGAGAGGAGGAAATACTGCATCTGCTAAAATTCCTTCCTCTACGCCACTGCTCTCCAACCTCTAGGGGATCGCACATTTTCTTCTTCTTTCGTTTGTTTTACTGGTATTCTTTTTAGCGAGAACAGAGGCAGAGAGAGATCAGACTGAAAGAAGAGCAGAGTTCCTTTATAACAGAGTCCATTGGCACCTTTAAGACCAACAAAAATATATATATTTTTAATGGCTGTGTTTTATTTTGGATAAAAGTGTGTGGGCTTTTTCAATCCTCCATAAGAAGCTCTACCTGCAGGAAAAAAAACCATAACCATTAAAATACACAGGCACATATGTATGGGAGCTCTGCCCTCCCTCCTTTGCCTTTGGTCACCCTAAAAAAAGGAAGAAAAATTAAAAACAAAAAGAAAGCCCCTGACACAATTTAGTATTAAAATCTGAGTCTGTTTTATACAGGCATCAAAGGTGCAGAAGAAGCTATTAAATCCTTCCTTGCATCTGTTTGCCCTATAAATGCTCTTTACCAGCAGTTCATAGGCACAGGAGTAAGCGATTTCCCTCTAACGCTGTAAGAAAAAACACCCAAAACCCGGAGAGGAACGGGAGCCTACAGAAATAAAAGCAGGTGAAGATGAGATTAAGGGAGGAAAAGAGCTGTGTCTTTATGCTTGTTGCTGAATGAGGTTGCCTTCCCCCCCCCCAAAAAAAAGCAGGGTTTGGGAGAGGAAGCAATTAAGGAACGACACGACTGCCCCCGAATTAAAATTAGAAGGGAGGGCGAGATCCGAGCCACCCGCTTCTCACGAACTCACTTTGTCCTACCTGTAGCGGCACAAACTCTCAACCCTCTGGAGAGTCCTCCTGTTGCCTGGCAACGCACCCCCCCCCAACCCTATCCCACAGTTCCCCGGGCGGGACACGAGGAAGTTACAAGCCTCGATCATCACCATGGTGACTGGAAGCGGTCGCTCACGCGCCTCGTTTGCGACAGCCAATCAGTGTTTAGGATCGGTTTTTTGGCCGCTAACCTGTTTTATTCGCTTCTGCATCTTGCGCATCTTGCGCATCATTTACTCTGTCTTGACATCGGGGGGGGTTTCACCCGCACTTGGTGTAAACTCAATTTTAGTCCCAAAAAGTGTCACTCCATAGTCTAAATCCATTGGTTTCATTGGGTTTAGACTGGCGTCAATCTGCATACGAGTGCACTGTTAAGCCCCTTTGGACATCGGTTTTGTTGTACCATAAGCGTTCGTTCGTGTCAGTCAGTAAGATGCCACAGGACTCCTCTTTAGTTTTTGATACAAGTTGTTCCTGCCGGAGCTCCTGCCGGAGGGCACCGGTGCACCATATTCTGGGCGTGGAACAGGGGTCACTGCGGTGTGTGGTGGGGTATTGATGAATTTCCTGCATTGTGCGCTGTGTGTGGGGGGTATTGATGAATTTCCTGCATTGTGCAGGGGGTTGGACCAGATGACCCTGGAGGTCCCTTCCCACTCTATGAGTCTATGATTCTATAATTCACCCAGGCTGGCTGTGGGCACGCCAGCACCTCTGTCAGGCAGAAGTGCCTGAGATCCTCCCCCTCCCCTTTTCCTTCGCCCGACTTGGAGGCGAAGGGAAGGGAGAGGGGGGAAAGAATGGATCCCAGGTGCTTCTGCCTGTCAGAGGGGCTGGTGCACACTTCTGGTGATGTCAGGGGGTGTGGCATATGCTAATAAGTTATGCTAATGAGCTCCTGCAGCTCTTTTTCTACGAAATGACCCCTGGATACAACAGACTAACACAGTGATCTCTCTATGACTGCAAAGCAATTAGCACTTACCTAAGTCTTAACTCCATTAATTCGCCAACAGTTTGTCCTGCGTTAACTTCTGAGATCACTGCCTTAATATACAGACTGAGCGTCCTTTATGAAAACAAATATTTAATTGAGTGTTTCGTCTTTTTATCATTCTCACATGAGGTATTTGCAACTGGAAACACATTCAGCAGCTTGTTACCTGGAGATAGCTTCACAGAAGGTAGCTCTCTTAGTCTGCTATAGAAGGTCCAGTAGAACCTTTGAGACCAACAAGATTTTGGAAGTATGAACTCTGGAGAGTACCTACCTGAGGAAGGGAGTTTTGACTCTCCAAAGATCATATATCCAAAATCTTGTTGTCTAAGGTGCTACTGCACTCAAATCTAGTTGTTACCTGCAGACGGGGTAAAAAAGCGTTAGTAGCTTGCATTTTCCTGTGGTGTTCCTCTCCTCTGTAAAGTGTACTCACTGTGGAGGTGGGTAAATGGACTGCCCTAAGATCAGAGAGACACAGGCAGGATGTGTTCAAAACTTTCTTTAATGTGCAGAACAACGAGGCAGGGAACAACATAGACTTAACAATGGCTGGAGTCTCGACTACCACTAACCCAGTTCTCTAACTAGTATATTCCAGAAGACACGCCCATTCATGTGAAGAGATGGAATTCCACTTAGGACCTAAGCCTCTCTCTTAGAGATAGGTCCCATATACTACACCTCCCACTCCAATGAGCAAAATGTGAAGCCTTCCTCCAGCTGAAGCAATTCTTGCCCCACCAGAAAGTAGGGATCATGCCAATGGTTTTGCCAAAGGCTGGCAGTGGCTCATTACACTACCCAAACTCTCTGCAAGCTGCTTTAATGATTTTATCTGCCTAGCTTAAGTTTAAATGCCTAACTAGACAGTTTTTTTGTTGCATACAGCTTGTTGATGCTTTTGATGTCATTTCCCAAGCATTACAAAAAAATCTAAATCACTTGAGCGACATCTAGTGTCAGGTCAGAGGTATGCAGTGTTGAAAGTGCATTATTTTTGCTGTTGGAGCTGGGCACAAGATATTTGAAGCTTTCTAAGCCATATATTAATAGTGGTTACATGATAGCTTTATTAAAATTAACAGGTGAAAAATTGAGCATTTGTTTTCCATAACGTGGAAGATGAGCTCTTCAGAGTCACAAAGAATGAACAAAGTACTTTGCTTGGTCGTTTGGTTGACAGTGGGCAGGCTTTGCAAATTAATTCTAGAATATGCACATTCTACACCTTGAAATGTATATATCCCACAAACAGCACCTATCTTAAAACCATGTGCTACATTGAAATTTAAAATTTACAGACATACACAAACACATACCTCAACCCCGGAGGGCTTGTGGCTCAGTGGAAGCGCCTCTGCTTTGCATGCAGAAAGTTCCAGGTTCAGTCCCTGGCATCACCAGTTAACAGGACCAGATGACATTGAACGACCTCTGTCTGAGACCCTGGAGAGCCTCAGCCAGTCTGAGTAGACAATACGGACCTTGATGGATTGATGATCTGATTCAGTATAAGGCGGCTTCACGTGTGGGAGTAGCTCCCTTGGTTAGATGCAGCTCTCAATTGACTGCATTTTTATCTCACCCTTCCATACATTTCTCTCTTCCCCATTTTATCTTCACAACAATCCTGAGAGGTACGTTAAGCTGCAGGGCTTTTTTTGCAGAAAAAGCCCAGCAGGAACTCATTAGCACAATAGGCCACACCCAACAGGAGAAACTCATTTGCTTATTAAGACACCACCCCTGACAGCACAGCTCATTAGCATATCAGGCCACACACCCCATGTTCGCAGAAGTGTGGTCATCCAGACACACTCACCTTTTGCTTCTTA